ACAAAGGAACTTTAGGCCACAGTTCATCTCTGCCTTTAAAAAGGTAAAATGAAAATGTGATTTTGAGATCATAGATATGCGTTCAGAGAAATAACAGATGGGTGGGTTTGAGTGTAGGCTCTAGAAGGCATTGCGAGGTAAGACTTTGAGTCCTGAAAGTCCAAAAGAGTCTAGATAGGAGTTAGAGAGGACTATTATGTGGGGGAAATGGCAAAAGCCCAGTAGCAGGAAGATTCAGGGTTTGGGTGGAAAACCAAACTAAGTGGGACCAATACCGGGTAGTGATTAATAATTTATGCTCCACAACCATGCTCCTTGGGTGCCAATCACGACTCTGCCACTTGCTAATTGCTAGACCTTAGGCATATTATTTAACTTCCCCTTTCCTGTTTCTTTGGTTATAAAATAGGGATAATAATATCTCATAGGGATGTTGTGAGGATTAAATGAACTAATACCTATAAAGCACTCAGCATAGTGCTTACTATTTAAGTGCTCAAGAAATGTAAGCTGTTGTTATTAACTAAGTGTGACTATTTGTTCTTTGGAGTTTACCAATAATAAACAAACAAGAACCATTCTGTTTAGAACTTGTATCTCAAAGCATTGAGCCTAAATTTATATAAAACAATATACATTCTAAATGTGCAACCATTCTCAATGTTTCTGAGCCTTAGTGTCCCCATTTGAAAATTCTGGAATAACTTAACCTACTTTAATGGAAATTAATGGAAAATTAAAGTAATGGAAATTAAAATGAGCCCATTTAGAAAGCAGGATCTTTCCACTTATTAACTGTATGTAGCCTTGGGAAAGTTACTCACCCCTGTGAGCCTCAGTTTCCTAATACACAAGGTAAGAGGGTAATATTATAATCAAATATATATGTGAAATGCTGAACACAATTACTGTCACAAAAATGAGCAAGTATTAATTTTTGAAAAGATCTTAAATCTTAATGGCTCAGAGACCTCCAGCAGCTCAGTAAACCTTTAGATTAAAGGTTTCTATGGCTTGACGTTTACAGGCTTTTTTTGTATTTCTTAGTACTACAGTCACTTCTGCAGGTAGTCACCAGAATCATTTTTCACTTCCTTATACCTGTGGTTACAAAAGGCAGACAAACAGGAGCCTCAAAAAAGGACAAACCAACCAATTTAAGGGAAGGTGGAGGGTTATTTACATGCACTAATACCTGAGTAATGACTCCAGTCTTTCTCTCTTAGGAAAAAGTGAACTGCAGTGAATTTAAGTGAACCATCGGAAATAATTTTGCTGTGGAAAAGATAGCTTGCCTTTCATCTCATTGCTTCAAGAATTAAAAGTACAGTTAATTTTTTTTTTTTACCTTGCAAGACTAGATTTATCTGTACATTCTAATTAATTGTACTATTCTTTATTTCCACAATACTTTATGATGAAACAGATCTACCAATCACTATATTTAAGACGGTGTGTTTTCATTTGATGATTTTCAACCACTTTTTCATGATCATTCCTTAGCTGTAGGTCATAAGGCTTTCCTTTGTGACACTCGAGAGATTTTCTTCACATTTGCAGCTGATTTACTGTAATTTTTACAGAATTAAAGATCTCCACGGTTTGGTGACCATTCAGAACCTGGAACTTTTAGAAAACTTGCAATATCAGCCAACGCATTCACAGGCCAAGAAAAAAATTATGGTAATATTCTTTGTTAGAGTTCTATATTAGTTTCCTAGGGCGACAGTAACAAAATACAACAAAATTGAGTGGCTGAAAACAACAGAAATTTATTCTCTCACAGTTCTGAAGGCAAAAAGAACAAAATCAAGGTATCAGCAGAGCCCCCCCGCCCTCTGAAGTCTCTGGGGGAAAAGTCCTTACTTGCCTCTTAACTAGATTCTGGTGGCTCCCGGCAATCTTTTGCATTCTTAGGCTTGCAGCATCATCATTCCAGTCTGTTCCTTGTCACATAACCATCCTCCCCATGTCTCCTCTGTCTTCAAATCTCTCTCACTTTATAAGAACACTAGTAATTGGATTTAGGGCCCATCTCGACCCAGCATGACTTCATCTTAATTTTATTATGTCTGCAAAGATCCTATTTTCAAATCAGGTCACATCCACAGGTACAGGGGTTAGGACTTTAACATATCATTACGGGGGCAGGGGGAAGTTTACACAATTCAATCATAACACATTCCTTTTATTACGAGACAACACCAAAAGTATAATGAAAATGATGAAAATGTATCCTTCACATATATGCCAGTTGGTATTAGAGGTACAGTTTATGGGCATGTACAAGAAAATTTTATTGGTCATTATAAGGCTTGACATGCATTGAGCTCCTACTCTGGGCCAGGTCCTTTGTTTGGTGCTAGAGATACAAGAAAAAGTCACCAGTCCCTTCTCGGTTGGCGCTCATTCTCATAGCCTAAACTGGTACTGTGACTTTGGTTATGGTAACAGTCTTATATTAATGAAGTAAGCAAACTAGTTATTCTCATCACCTTAGTAAGAGAACTTGCGGAAACCACCATTAAATACACAGTTTTGTTATATACTGCCCATTTCAACAAAGCCTGTAAAAGTTGAGGGGATTACCTCTTTGCCGAAGATGAGTTAACTTTCTTTTGAAGTTAATTACTTCTTTGGAACATAAGGGGAAAGCAAAATGGAGAAAAAAATCAGACGGAAAAAGGGTATGGTCCTCCCAGCTGTTTTGACTTCCTTGTTTCACTCACCAGCACCCCTCACCAAGTATGAACCAGAGATGTTTGTTTTGCTTGGGTGCCCCAAGGTGCAAACACACTTATCACCAACACTTAGAGTTGGCATTGTAGGTAGGTCCTTATTTCCAAACACTCTGGACATACTTTATGCAATTACAGGACTGTTTTAGAATTTGAAAGAGATTATTTACTGTCAGAGTCCAAATATCTCATTTTTAAAGGTGAAAGAAGGCTAGATAATGAGACGACCAAGGCCATGCAACTATAGTAGTCAATACTGGAAGCTCCATGAGAATTGTGACCCTGTTTGGGGTGACTTTTATATTCTCTAGCCTAGCATGTGCTAGAGAATCTGTTTGTGTTTGAGTGCTCAGTAAAAGTGTGCTGAGTGAATGAAACAATTACTTGAATAGTGAATGAATGAGTCCAAAGTATACCTCTTCTATTTTTTCTACTGCCATAATGATCTCCAATTTTTAAACAGAGTAAATATTCTCAATAAAAAGCTTCAAGGTAGTCTGACAAATGTTCACACAGCATCTTTATCCATGTGCTGTTAATTATTTAAAAGAGAATTCTTTAGTTTGTGTTTCACATTATCCAATATCCTCAGCTTCTACTCTCAACATTTTTTAGGTCTTTATACCTTTTATAGATTAAGCAGAGGACGAGGAACTAAATCACAGATCTTGCTGCCTTGTTCACCCAGTAAGCCTTTTACAATAGCTGTTATCTGGTCCCAGCTGTTGTGCTAAATTTAGGATTTTGGATTATCTGTAACTGTTCTTTCTGTCTCCCATTACCAAGGTTAATTGAAAAGTGATTGTAGAACAAGGAAAACTTCAGTTCAGAAAAGAAACTGCATAATACAGTATTCAATAATATCAAAGTCAAATCCACTGGCAGTTAACATTTGTAGCCATTAGGTAGATTAAGGAGCTGTTGCCATTTGTCAGAAGTTTCATCTTAATAATGCCAGAACATTTCCTTGAAAATAAAATGTTACCTTCCTGTATGTTCTGCCCTGTTTTGAGTAGTTACAATCTTAGAGTTAAGGCAAATAATTGCAGTTGTAACTGTAATTTTATAGTATATATCAACATGCCTAGAAAATATTACAATTTTCCACAATAGAAATTTCATGTATTTGATGGTTCTGAGGCCAAAAAAAAAATGCAATTTCCAATCTTGTACTTTACAAAAATTTTTCTAATATAAAAGTAATACATGCTCACTCACTGTAAAACCTTGAAAACCACAGAAGGGTACAAAGACCAAAGTTAAACATATTCTAATAATTTCCTGTTGTGATTCTTGTATGCAAAATTATTTCTAAAAACAAAACAAAACAAAACTTTTTTTTTTAAAGAAACCAAAGAGCATGGCAAATTTAGTACTTCTTGCCTATTTTGAGCTCACAACCTCGTATGTACCTTTCCTGTAAACTGAGTAGCTAATAGCTTCAGTGCTTGTTAGGATTGCTTTTTTTTTTTTTTAAATTACAGCAGATCCTTGTCATCTGTTTGTGTTTGAGTGATGACACAACATCACAACATGAAATGCAATGTCACATTGTTAAGCTGAACAAGAAAATTACAGCTCCCCAACAATAACACCGTGTCAAAAGTGTCCTCCTGGCATGAGTCAGTGTTTTAGATGTTATAAAAGTTATTTTTAGCACAGCGAGTGCCTCTGGAGCTTGGGTTCTGAATCCTACTAAAATCTCTAAAGAGTTGGTAAAATATAGGCTGAGGGGCTGTTCCCAAACTCCCCAGTCCCTGATGCGCATGGCAGCCTATTCTCCTGCCCCAAACACGTTAGACTTGGTTCCACTGTGCTCTGCAATTCACTCGGGGCTCGGTCACAACTCTGCGCCAGCATCCCGTGTGGAGGAGGAGACTATAATTATCCTCCACGTCTGGGGCAGGCCCTCGGATGACATCTCCCCAGTTACCCTGTGCTCTAATAGCGCAGCTCGGATTCCTGGTCGCAGACGCGCCGCAGCCGGCTCAGAGCGCAAGCAGGAGCAGAGCGCGACCCGAGCGTCCCGCGCCTCTCGGGCCTCCCGGGCTCCGCCGTCCGCACGCCGCCGCCATCCCCAGTACCCTCGCAGACGACTGGCACTTGCTCAGAAACCCAGGCCCCCCAGCTAGCGCCCCGGGGCGCGCGGGGCGTTGCCATAACAACCGGGCGTCCGCCGCGGAGGCCGCCGGGGAGGAAGTGACGAGTGGTGGGTTGGCTGTTGTTAGGACACGTGATCCGGGCAGTGTTTTGACAGGGCAAACAGCAGAGAAAGAACTGGGCAAGCGAGGGGGACCGGGAGCTGGGGCGCCAGAGCTAGAGACAGCGGGCGGGCGAGGAGCTGGCAGAGGCGCAGGGCAGGCGGGCCGGCCGGGGGCCGCGGGGCTCGGGTGCGAGTCGGGCGGGGCGAGGTGCTGAGCGCTGGGAGCGGAGCGAGGCTGCAGCTGAGGCGGGGGTGGATGGCCACAGGGGCGCCGAGGAGCCGTGTCGGGCTTGTGGTGTCGGGCCCCCATGGTCCCCTGACGCAGCCCCGGGGGGCGCTGCGCGCCACACTCCGCTCTAGCCGGCCCTGCGCCTCTCGGAGCCTCGGGTCTGAGGTGGGAGTGTGATGTGAGTCGCCGGGCGAGCAGCCGAGAGAAGTGCCAAGAGGAGGAGGGATCGGGACCGGAGAGAAGAGCGAGTTAGGCAGCAGAGGTCGGCTGAGGGAACCATGAAAACAACTCTCCGGCGGGGAGAGGGGCAGGCGCGGCAATCGGTGCGGCGGGGCTGAAGGAAGTCCCGGGCCGCGCGAGACGGAAGGGGCCCGCAGCGGGCTGGCTGCGCAGACCAGGGGCGAGCGCCCATCCGTGCACCCCTCCCCGGGGTCCACCTCTGGCCTGGCCGCTCAGAGATAGGGGTGGTAGGGGGCGATCCTTGACTGCCCGGTAGAGTTCGTTCGGGCTGGGGGCTGGGCGCGAGGAGATGACTCGCGTTGCTTTCTGACTCTTATTGTGTAAACTTGGCCGCAGTTGCGGTAGGAAGGCTAGCCAAAGGGTAATTACACAGGTGAGGCCCCGCGGAGTGGGCGGAGCACTTGGGGAGGCGCCTGGGGGTCTTGAAGAGTTTCCTGCGCCCAGGCACCAAGTCGGAGAATTTCTATACCAGCTACTGCAGAGGTGCCACTGTTCCCAGCGGCGTTTTTTACAAAGGGGTTAGTTAGTCTGTGTTGCTTGATTTTTTTTTTTTCCTTGCCTGTACCTCCAGGTTATAAATAGATCTTCCTTTTGGTTCAGAGACACTGTGTCAAAGAAGGACACTTTGGCCTGGAGAGCACTGGGGCGGGGAAGAGGGGTGCTCTGTCTGGAGGAGATGGGGGAGACGATGCAGAAAGAGTTTTGTTTTTTCCAAACCTGCTGATGGTGCTGTCACTTCAACTAGTGCCAGGAAGAGGCCTAACTGTTAACAGTAGTTTTCTTGCAAGGTCTGCGTGTAAGAGCAGGACCTGATTAATTTTGTTTTGGTCTCTTTTAGCGTTTTGCAAACTGCAGTAGCCACAGAATCAGCGGCGAGCCTGTTGAAAGAACCCACACGTGTATTTCACAGCCCTTTGGGTGGAAATTGAATGTGAAAATGAAGCCAGACCGAGGTAAATGATTTATTTAAGTAGGTTTTGGTTTTTTTTTCCTGTTCCCCATTTTAGAAGCGTTAACCTCATTCTGCGGCAAGATCAGTTCTTTGTGTATTACATATGATTACTTGTTTGTGTTACAGATTCCAGCTGGTAAGGTAGAGAAGGGTACATGGAAGAGAGAGTTAGGATCTAGGTGGGAGGATATTCTTTAATACTGTGAAGGAGTAGTTTCCAGAGAGATTCCAGTGTAACTCAAAATGAAATTGTCAAAAACAGAATTTGCATCTGTTGCCACAGTACTTGGTATTTTAAAGTAACATTACTCATTTTTAAGTAAAATCAGTCTGACTTCAGTTTTAAAGACGTTTACAATCTTTTTCAACTTAAGAATTTGAACTTGATAAGTTGACACAATTTAAGATTGAGTTGACAAATATTATTTTATTGTTAGTATTGCTTTCATTAGCTGACTTTTTGTGCTTTAGGCAAAGTCTAAAACTTTGCAAAGTACTCCAGGGCCTTATTCAATATATCAGTATATGGACAGTTAGGGCTGTTGAAATCCCTAGTGATAAATAAATGTTATTTCCTTTCCCAACCCGTATTTTTAGGACTTATGAGAATAAGTCCTGTGTTTTTTAAAGACTTCAAAGGAATTGAAAACTCATTTATCAATTTTTTTTTGAATAATGGCATGGCCAAGATGAGATTTTAATATAGTAATAGTGAGGTGTGAAGGCTTTTCAGTCAGATGGAGATTTGTTTCCAAGGAAGATTGTAGGAAGAGGATTATTGTAAAGAGTTGGACTAGATGACAGAGTTCCTTCCAAATCTGAGACTTTGGGAGTAGAAATGTTAATTTATCTTCATATGAATTAGATACTCATAAAGATATATTAAACTAGTTATTTTTTTCCGTATGTTTTTTCCAAAGTGGATTAGAAAGACAAATTTTCTTTTCTAGTTAAAATACATCTTTGGTACTATGTTCTTTAAAATGCACTAGAAAGAAGTAGAGAAAGGCATATTTAATTTAGTGGCTTAAATTAATTTCAAGTGTTTGGCTGTTTCTTAAAATCAGCTATTTATGCATAAGTATTAGCAAGTATATTGCTACTAAGCAAGTTGTTTGTGTAGAATGCCAAATTTATTTAGTCTTTTAGATTACATCAGTGTCTTTGGGAAAATGGCACCAAGGTCAGTAATTGCATCTCAGAATCAACAAGCAAATAAAATCAAAGTCGCTATTTGTTTTGGGTTGTTTTTTTTTTCTGTTGGTCATAAACAGTTTAAAAATATTTGCACACAATCTCTGTTTTAGCCAAAGCTAGCACTAACCACAATAACGTGTTAGTTATACACTTACATAAATTATTAGGAAAAATAAATTTATTCATCAAGACTCCTAAAGAAGTGACTTTCTCCCCTTTAAAATTGTATCTTTCTTTAACATTATGAAGTAAAAATGATAGGATGGCAAGTTTACTATTGTAATTATATTTCATGGTAATAATATGAGTCCTTAGGCCCATGGCTTTCTTTTGACCAGATCTAGAATAAGTAATATCTTTTACTTTGCAAAATAGTATAGAAATACTGTAATAAACTTTCACAAAACAAACTTACCCTTGCAATGTGCAATATGTTCTTGTGTTTACTGTTCTGTTTCTATTTTTAAAAATTGGTATTCCCACTCATTGAATTGATTTCTTGACCTGAAAGTTGGAAAGGCACAGTTATGGGCTACACTTTGCTAGAGGACAGTAATACTTCATTTTTTTCTACATTGGTGTTGAAGAAACTGTTCTACATGAGTGAATTTTCTGGATAATTGAAACTTTAAATGCCAAAAATATTTTCAATTATAATCATGATATGTGGACAGAGCTCTAAAATACTTTGTCCTTTAAAAAAATAAAGGATATATGGAATCGATGTAGTTTAATCTTCACTTCATGAAAAAGGGGCATTGTAACGAATTTCAACTTTGTATTCTGTCATGATCTAGAAATGTTCTAAAGAGATATTTACATTTCTAAGGTTTTTTTTTTTGTTTTGTTTTGCCTCTACCTTAAACCTCTTCAGCTAATATGTATTTTTTTGATTTGATTTTTAAAATTCCCATGCTGTCAACAGTCTGTTGCTAATATGCTTATTTTTGCCTCCTTTTAATTTTACCATTTTTAGTCTCTGGGCTAGAGAACTAGGTAACCGTGCCTGACACTGAGGAGAACCCTTCAGATATTCATTCAGAATCTGAGTAAAGTGTATGAATAAGTGTAGAAACTTTGAGATGTTTGCTTAGTGAACTATCAGATAAGTACAATAGAAGCCTCTTATCCTACATGATTGGGTATAATGGTTGACTAGTTGAAAAAGCGAATTTAAGTGAGAAATTATAAAAAGTAACAGCCTTAATTATCTCACTTATCTTTCAGTGTTGGATCAAGGCTCTTTTTGGGGGGTGAAATGGAGTCTGTTTTTCAGAGTTAGATATGATTTTTTTTGTATAAACCACACCAGTAATATATACCTAAGATTTCTAGTTTTGATTTCTTTAAAGTGAAAAAGACTGTACAGAGGATTCTGAGGATGGAATCATTTAAAGGTTTTAAAAATTAGTATTTATTGTTTCACACAATTTTAGACGTGTCTTGTATATATACACAGTCTACAGGAATTTGTTTGGGGGTGAGAGGGAATATACATCAAAATATACTTTTTCCAAAGCATTCAAAATAATTTTCACAGAAATAACTTTTTTTGTACTCATTTCATTGGTTTATATAATATTTAAATAAGTTAGTTATTCTTGAGTGGAATAAACTGGTTTGGGAACAAACACCAGATACTAGTTACACGTACAACTCAATTAGTAGAACTAAAAGCTGTGCAGGCAACTAAAAAATACAGTGAGCCCTTACAAATATCGTCATGGAAATTGTGACTTTAAGCAAAACAGAGTATAACAACCAATTTTACCATAGGCTAATTGATATAAACAAGAGTTAAGTTCCTACGGCATTTTTGTGGTCACAAAAACATCATCACACTTCTAAATAAACACTCCAAACATTTCTGATATTAAACACTGAAATAAATGTGAGCTATGTATACATTTAAGAAAGAGTAATAAAAACAAGGAAGATAATTGTTTTCTAACCCAGTTATTCCAGTTCAGGGTCGTAAGTAGCTGGAGCCTTTCCCAGCAGCTCAGTGTATTAGGCAGAAACCACCGTGGACAGGATGTCCTTCCATTGCAGGCACATCACACTTACTCAGACTGGGACAATTTAGACATGCCATTAGCCTCACATGCACATCTTTGGGATGTAGGAAGAAACCAGAGAAAACTCTTACGGACATGGGGAGAATATTCTAACTCTACACAGACAGAAATGCTGTCTGGGAATCGATTTTTTTTTTTTTTTCCTCATCAACATTATAATCAAACAACATTATTCAAGGACCTGCTGTACCCTACTAGCTACTAGTGTCTGTTAGTTTGCTTTTATGGAGGGTTTGGAAAGCATTGGTCAATCTTGACTGTTGGTTAAGTGAAAGTCAGGAGAGCTTTCTACTGTACTTTCAGATAATCAAGCTGTTACGGTGTAACATGATGGCTGCATTTCACAGTAGTCAGTAGTGTTTTACCGTTGTCTGAGGTAAACATTTTTTAAGTTTTTGAGCAGTTTTATAACATTACTTGAGCAGTACTAAAGTGCCACAGATGACACTTTGATGTTGTCATTAGCACAGTCTTCGGAATCAGGCTTGTATTTGTATCCTTGTTGTATTACTTGCTATCAGTGTAATCTTCATAAAATTACTTAAGCACTGAGAGTCTCAAGTTCTTTGTAAAATAATTCCAACTTTTCATAGTTGTTAAAATGAAATATGACAGTGTTTGGCACATAGTAGCTATAAATTAAGTGATAACTGTGATCATAATTAAATAAGACATTACAGATGCTTGTATGTTGGTCAGTTACAAAATATATTCAACTCAGATAAGGAAATAATTCAAAGTACAATAACCTACCACTCACTATTTTGTTTTGTTTTATATTCAGTTATTCAACCTGCTAAGGCTCAAACAGATTTAATTGACTTTTAATATATAGTTATCTGAGAAAAATATAAAAACTGCAGAAGTATGCTTGTCACATATGTGTAATTTATTTCTTTATACCGTCATTTGTTATTACAATTATAGCTTAATTTCTCTATGTAAGGGGTGACATGGGTAGACTAAGCTTCCTGGGAACAGATTTTTTAATGATGTTACTTACTGAGTAGAACTGGTCAGCTCTGTACTCCATCCTGTACTCAGGGATGAAAAGTTTGGACCTGATCCTAGATGTGTATTGAACGTTCACTGTTTCAAGAGAAGTCTAAAGTGTGATCTTCATGTAGAAGTAATTAAAACATATGTTATAAATGTATAGTATTTTTAATTTTATTTATTTTTGAATGAGTAATGTTTTTTCCTTATAAAAACATGTTTCAAAATAATGTTTTGATTTTAAAAGTTCCCAAAGTTTAAAAGTCTTAAGTTTATGGTATTGTACAACAATCTGAGGAGAATCAAAATCTTTTTAATTTAAAAGATAAATGCCAATTTGCTATGCTTTATGCTTTGGTTATAAAGCTTTTTCATCAGACATTTCTAAGAATGTTATCTGAGTTTATTAACTGTTCTGAAAGATTAAGGCCTATAAAATCTAGTAAATCATCAATAAATTAATAATTTAAACATACTGTGTTTCAATTCATATTTGAACACATTGTAGGGCATTTATGATTCTTAAGTAACAACTATTTGTGCAAAACCTGTTTTACATGGAAATACCAAACTGATTTTTTTTTTTTTGAGATTAAAAATGAAAGGAGTGCTATCTTAGTTTTTTCAAACCCTGCTGTAGAATAAATGTTCGTTTCCCTCCAAAACATTGTATGTTGAAACCCTAACCCCCAGGTGATGGTAGTAGGAAGTGGGGCCTCTAGGAGGTGAT